GAAATAGAGGATTCGTGAGAGCACCTACGCCCAGAAGGCTGGTGGGGTTTCAGCGGCCTCTCTAAGGTTAAGTCGGGCGTGCCACTCTACACGAGGAGTATTCAAAAATAGTTTTAAAATCGTATGGGGACACATTTTCTTCTATGTTCGACTACTTTCGAATAGTATGTTTGACTGTGTTTCGTTTTTCTTCCAAAATCCGCCTTTAGGAGGAAATGCCCGACCGAACTCTAAGGCCTCCAGGAGGCTCCCATGGGGCCTGCTCAGGGATCCAGCGGCTTCTATGGGGCTTCCGCCACGCCTCATCGTTCGAAGAGAAGCGCAAACATGGACTAAGCCTCGTCGATGGGCCCCGCTCCCATACAATATCGACGCGTTCCGTCGCCAACTCGAGCGGCATTGGCACTGTTTCGACGGGCACCCTGCCCGATCCGTGGATCTGGCGCCCACGCGCCAGATCCACGGATCCGTAATCCATGCTTGCGTGTTCGTGAAGTGTTCCACGCCGGAGCGTCCACGATTTGCTCCAGACGTAAAAGTGACCCTTTGCCGGAGTGACCTATGGTGCGCGGCTTTGCGGTGGCGCTTGGGATCCAAAGCCCAGGGCGCAGGCCGCTACTGTCGCCCCGCATGCAGCGACCGGCCACCCGCGCACCAAAGGTATTTGTGTTGCTTGGGGTCATGCTTGCGTGAAGCCGATCTACACTAGATCATTTCGTTCTACATCGTTTTTTGGATGCATTTCGATCTAGATCTCTAGATCTGGATGCATTTCGATCTACATCGTTTTCTGGATGCATTTCGATCTACATCGTGTTCTGAATGCATTTCTGGATCTTGCTTAGATCTCTAGGTGCATTTCGATCTACCTCGTTTTCTGGATCAGCCTCGATCCACCCGGCCCCGATCCACGCACGACGGTTGGGCAGTCGGCGTCCGGCCCGCACCCGCTCGTGGTGGGGAGGGCACCGTTGCCTCCAGGGCGCACTGGGGGGTGCCTTGCGGAGGGCGCAGGGCCGTCAGGCGCGTCCTCGTTCCCAGAGAGGCAGAGCGCGAAGTATTTGAGCAGTAAGCTTGCAGGTCACGATCTTCACAGCTTGCAGCACACCTGCAGTAGGCTCGCAGTAAGCTTCCAGATCTCCACGTTGGGCAGTGAGCTTGCAGCAAGCTCGAAGATCACATCTTTGCTTCGGGCTGGCGCCGGTTCAACCAGCTGAAGCACGAGCTGACATGCAAGCACTGCCATCTCGCAAGCCACCTACGCCTCGTCAGTGGGACCGCGACGCCCACCGTCACGCACGGAGGCAGCTCGTGGACCCTGACCAAGGACATGGTCACAGTATTGCGGCGTTCGCAGCGGAAGATGGTCCTGATCATCGTTGGCTTGGCATGTGCCGAAGACGCACACAGGGGAACCACCAGAAGAACGACGAGAAGGACATCCAAATTAGCAGCCCTCAGCAGCAGTGGAAAAACGGAATTAGGCACGCAGGGCCCGACGGGGACTCCGCCGAGGAAAATCCAGACAACGACGGCAGCACTAACAACAACGGTTCCGACAACGACGGCAGTACCGAGAGCAACGACGACGACGACGTTGACGACGACGACGACGACGACGACGACGACGACGGAAGCACCAGCAGCAGCAACGGCAGCGGCAACAGCAACAACGGATTAGAGCCATGGGCGCACTTCATCCGACGAGCGACGCATGCATGGAGATGGGCCAGCCGACACTCGACACGTACTGAGGGCTCTGGCCCTCCGTGAAGTTGATCAAAGACAAGCTTATCATGAATGCCAGCTCCAAGCTTCTGACCTCCACCTTCTGCCTCCCCGGTCCCAGTTCCTGGTCCACCGACAACCTTTCACCTTCTCGGTTCCCATCCAGACCCCCACCATCCCTTTTCCGACTCCCAGCTGCCACCTCAAGGTTTCGACCCCGAATCGGGCATTTGCAGTGTTCGACACCCTACGTTTCAACCTTCAGCCCTAACCATCAGCGTTCCAGATCCCACGTTCCGATTCACAGTTCCCACATACACATTTCGACTTCGAATTTGACACGCTTTGTGTCGAACCTCCATTCCACGACGTCCCGCGCCAACCACCCGAAGTCCAGCTTCCATCTTCTGACCCCCACTCCCCATGTCCAGTTCTCAACCCTGACCCATGTGAGTTCCAGCTTCCACAATCCAAGTCCCAGCTCCCATCTCCAGCTTTCGACCCAGCATCTTACGGACACGGTTTGTTGACCTCCACCGTCTGACCTCCAGCCCCGGCCATCCCATCTCCAGAAACCAGCAGCTCCCGGCTCCCAACTCAAGGTTTCGACCAAGGATTGGCATGTGCAGCACACGACTCATCACATTCGTGGTGCCCATCTTCATTCATGCCTAATACACATTACAGTGCCGTTTTTAATGCATGTTCCGCGTGCGGACCATATATTAAAAATAAAGGGTTTATTAATGAATACAAGGATGAGTTTACGCATTAATTTATTCATAAATTATTCATGTATTTAAATCATATAGGTTTAAAAATCCTACGTATTAGAAACTACCCTGTACCGTCATATTCTTCGGGGCTCTGTAGCGCGTGCTTTACCAAAACGCAGAGGCGTCGCCCCGATGGTCTTTCGCAAGGGCGCCTGCGACAGATCTTCGAAGTTGAGGCATCGCAGGCACATGTCGCGCGTGTCCAACGAGGAAGTCTCAGTAGGAGCAGGATCTGAGGCGTCCAGCACGCAGCTGCATTTTCTCAGGATCCCGCAAAGGGGGTGGGGCCAGGAGGGGTGGGGGGGGAGTTCCGACCCCCAGCCGCCAGCAGTTCCCGATAGTTGCCGATAGATGGGGCATGTGGAGGGGCATCTGTTTGCGGCAGTTCGGCGCACGAGCGGGTCGAATTCATGCCCCTCTCAGGGTAACCCCCCTTGTGGTGGATCTTGATTTTCGGCAACTTCAGCGACTCGGCTCAACGCTTCGCGCAGAGCCCGCCCACCCAATCCAAAAGCTTGCCTTCTTCGTCGCTGGCACATGCGGCCAGCAACGCAGAGCGACGGGTGGCGAGTGAGCCGCCCGAGCAAGGAACTCGTCGTTGAAGTGCTCAAGCACGCAGCGCGCATGTTCGGCAGCACCTGCTGCGTCCAAAGCCCGGCTATAGCAACGCTTGCGGACTTCCCAGACGCCTGCAAGCGTTGCTTGCGGGCGTGTTCGAGCTTCTATCAGGAGGGGAAAAAACACACAGACGCAATTAATCGTCGATTCCCCAGAAAATATGGGAAAATATGGGAAGTGTGGGGGGGAAGCTAAAAAAACAACGAAAATACCAGGAAAATATGGGGAATCCTTTTTATTTGTGTATTTATTTGTGTGTCCCAGTTTCCTTTCATTCTAGAAAATGCCAGCACGCGACGCTTGCGGGCGGGTCTGGAAGGCGTCAAGCGCCAGCAAGCCACGCTTCACGGCGCTGCTTGGGACCTCGCGCGTCGCCTGGAAGCGCTGTCTAGGACGCCTCGAGGGGCTTCAGCGAGCTCGCGAAGCTTGCCTAGGGCGCTTCTGGTCGACTACACGTAAGAGTGACCTTTCGCCGGAGTGACCTTTGGTGCGGGCACAGATGGGCCCCCAGGTGCCGAAAGAGAAGCGGTAGCAGCGGCTTGCGCGCTTGTTTTTGGCCCCCCCGCGGTCCAAGAAAGCCGCGCACCAAAGGTCACTCTTATCCAGGGTCACTCTTGCGTGTAGCCGATCCTGGGCGCTGCGCACGAGTAGAAAACGCTGCCTAGGCGCCTACGCAACGCTTCTCTTTGGCGTCTTGGGAAGCGCTCACGGGACATGCTGCAGCCCCTGGGGAGTCGCTGCGACGAGCCCTGCCCGGCGAGCGCAAAGCTCCGGGCCCAGCCAGCCTTCAGCTGGCTTCTTCTCTCAAACCCTACAGCTCTCCTAGGAGCTATCTGGGAACAAGGAGTTATCTGGGAATTTCTCGGCCCAGGGCTGGGTGACCACACGCACACCCAAGAGTGGCTTGTTTGGCGCGAGGTTGGCCCCCACGGAAGGTTCGCGAGGACTCTGGAAGGGATGCTTTGAGGGCTTGCAAGCTCTGGAAAGGAAGTGGGAAGGAGATACCAAGGAGCTGCTGACGCGCTTCGGAGAAGCTTCACGGCCTCAGGCACGCGTATTGCAAACGAGTAGGAAAACGTTTCTCGGGACCCGTTGCAAGTTCAAGCAGGGCGCTGCGGGGATGCTTGCCCGGGAGCGTTCGATAGGAGCTGGCGTAGCCCTGCCTGCCAGCTTCTAATCTGAAACCCTCTTAGCTCTCCACGGAGCTATCCGGGAATGACTAGGGGAACGAGGAGTGACATAAATACAAAAATTCGGAGGTCCGCCGCGGATTTTTCGGATCGGCGTTGCACCCCCCTCCCTGGCGCGCGGAGCGCGCCAGGGGCGGCGCTGGAGGCGCCGCCTGGGGGGTCCAGCGCCGATCCGAGAAATCCGCGCGGTCCTACGAGTTTTTATGTTTATGTCCATTCTTCGCCCCCCTCATGTCCGAGCACGCAGCGCGCATGGTCGGCAGCATGACAGCGGCGGCGCAGACAGCTTGCACCCTGGCGCTTCGGGCAGGGGAACGACGAATTGACAGAAACATGAAAACTCGGAGATCCGCGCGGATTTCTCGGATCCGCGCTGGATCCCCCTTGGCGGCGCCTCTGGCGCCGCCCCTTGCGCGCTCCGCGCGCCAGGGACGGGGGTCAAGCGCCGATCCGACGTCCGAGAAATCCGCGCGGACCTCCGAGCTTTTTGTTTATGCCATTGTTCTTCCCCCTTATCATGACAGCGGCGGAGCAGACAGCCTGCACCCTGGCGCTTTGGGCGCGCCGATGCCGACAACACGGTTTCCATTGGTGCCCCGCCTGCGCTCTGCTCTGTAGCCGTTGGTGCTGCGCGTTCATTCTGCTGTCCTTGCCTCGCCTCTGGTTGTCGGTTCCCTCTCTTTCCTCCTCCCCCCTTCCCTCCGTGCCCCCCCTCTTGCTTTTGTGTGTTCTTGCCATTGTGTCTTGTGCACTCTCCTTCTGTCTCCCTGGTTGGCTTCCCTGTTCCGGCCTCCCGTCCCTCCGTCTTGTCGGCCCGTTCTGTCTTTCTCTTGTTGTCCTCCGTTATTCTCCCCCTCTCGCTCGTCGGTTCTTCGTTGTTTGTCTGGTCGGTGTTCCTTTGTCGGCCCGTCCTGTACTCCGAGTAAAAAAGCGCACCAGTTTCCGCTCGTGTTCACGCCCACGCACCGCCTGGTGTATGCATTGTTTGTTTGTTGTCTGTCTGTCTGTCTGTCTGTCTGTCTGTCTGTCTGTCTGTCTGTCTGTCTGTCTGTCTGTCTGTCACACTCCTCCTTATCAGCATCCTGGTCGGCCTGATTGTCATTTTTGCGTCCCCAACCGCTCCCATAATTATCAGTGGACGTATCCTCGTCCTCCTGATCCCGTTCATCGTCATCATGTCCATCATATTTCCATCCTTCGCACGTCGCGTTTGTCACCCCCTCCCATTCGCACTTTTTCGGCCCTCCTTCCCACCCGTTCGTCACCCCAACATCATTATCCTCATGATCATCCTCACCACTATCACTAGGTATCCTGCATCTTGCGCTGCTGAACACCGCATCTCGTTCCAGCTCCAAGCAGTGAAGGCAATTCCATTGGAAGTGCAAGTGCCCGTGGGGAATCTACCAAATTTTAAAAGGAATCTGAAGATCCCGCACGAACATGGCAAGATCATATTGAAACCATATGAACGTACAGGAACCACGAGTTGTGCCGGACAGCCGGACAGGTGCTCGTTGGATATTGCGCGGCATCGTGCATCGTCGTCAGCGCGCCTCTCGTGAGCCCGAGAGGGAAGCCCCCAGATGTCGAGATTGCTTCGAGAATCGCTTCACGCACCATGGTTTACAGTGGGGGCGCGCATCAAGAAACCATCTGCTTTTCGTCTGGGTATCCTGGGTTTCTTCGCTCCTCGCGCTGCGCGGTGACTTCCCGCAGACGTGGAAGGAGCTGCTGCGTTCGGGGTGCTCAGGGTTTCCCTTCAGGTGCACCTCGCGCACGGCTTCTCAGGGTTGAGTTTCTTGCGAGGGTTTCTTGTGGCCGCGTCCACACTGTATCACCATCGGCATCCTCGTCCTCTTCAGCCCTCCGTCTTCGCTGACCACCTCCTGTTCCTCCACCCACCCGGCGGGCCAGTGACCGGGACGATGTCAGGAGGGAAAGAAGCACACAGACACAACTCATCGACGAGCCCCAGGAGAATGTGGGAAAGTATGGGAAGCGGGGGGGAAGACAGAGACCCCAAAAATGTAGGAAAATGCAGGGAATAGTTTTATTTGTGTGTATTGATTGGGCTGGTCTCCGGCCAGTGCCGCCGATCCGGTGGAGTTTTCTACACCCCCCTGTCCCCGGGTACCGGAAGAAGTCGGACATGACGTCGGACATATCCCCGGGTGCCGAAAAAACGTCGGAGATGACGCCGGAAAGAACGCACCCCCCCCTCCCCCCTGCAGAGCGAAGCTTGAGCGAGCTGAAAGTCCACGCTCTCAGAAGCTCACACGCCGGATCGGCGGATTTACGTGTCCCAGGGGCCCCCCTTCACGATGCGCTCCAGGGCCTCCCCGAGCGTCGCAGCGCGCTCCCGGGGCGGCCGCGGAGCCGCTCCCGCGCATCCTCCAGCAGCCGCCGGTCTGCAGAGATGCCCGAGGCATCGGGAGCTTTGAGACGGGGGTCAATCCTCCTTCTCCTCCTCCACTCCGCATCCTCGTCCTTCCTCCTCCTCCTCCTCTCTCCTCCTCCTCTCCTCCTCCTCCCCCCCCCCTCCTCCTACTCCCCCCCCTCTCCCCCTCTCCTCCTTCCTTCCTCCTCTCCCTCCCCCTCCATCCTAATCCTCCTCCCCTCCTCCTCCCTCCTCCTCTTCCTCCTCCTCCTCCTCCTCGTCCTCCTCCTCCTCGTTCCTACTCCTCCTCCTCCTCCTCCTCCTCCTCCTCCTCCTGTCCTCACTCCTCCTCCTCTCCTCCTCCTCCTCCTCCTCCTCTCCTCCTCATTTCTCCCTCTCTTACCTCCTCCTCCTCCTCCTCCTCCTCCTCCTCCTCCTCGGGTCGCCTACGGTCCCGGGGGAAACTATGCAGTTCAGTGCAAACGGGGGTCAGCCAGAGCGCCAGATCTTGCAGGATCCTGCAGGGCCAGGCTCCCATTGACCCGGGTTTGGGTGCAGGATCCTGCAGGATCCTGCAGGATCCTTCGCGTGGGCCCGGGCTGGGGTGCAGGAGCTTGCAGGATCTTGCAGGCCTGACTGACCCGGGTCTGGATTGACCCGGGTCGGGAGATCCCCGAATGCATCCCGGCCGGCTGCTGTCATTGTCTTGGCCTCGTCGTGCCCCGCCCCTCGGCCTCGACCCGCCCGCGCGGCCAGGACCTACTCGTGCGAGCCAAGCCGCAACCCGCTCCACTGGCACTCGCGGTAGCCCGCGTGGCCCCGCGACCCCGCGGGAGAAATCCACGAGGGGGCGCGGCAGAAAAGGAGGAGGAGGGGAGGAGGAGGAGGAGGAGGAGGAGGAGGAGGAGGAGGAGGAGGAGGAGGAGGAGGAGCGAGGAAGGAAGACGAGGAGATGAGAGGGGAAGAGAGTAGGAGGAGGAGGAGGAGGAGGAGGAGGAGAGGACGGAGGAGGAGGAGGAGGAGGAGGCGGAGGGGAGTAGGGAGGGAAGGGGAGGAGGAAAGGGCGGGGGAACTCCCACGAGCACTGAGACTGGCAGGCTGGCAAGGGCGCGGGCTCGGGGAGCCCGGGCCTGCCTGTGAGCCCGCCTCCCCTCCTCCCTCCTTGCACGTGCAGGTCAGTGATATCGCGCGGGGGTTGAACCGCGTTCGCTTGTTTTCTCTTTCTCCAGCATGGGTTCGAACCTCTTGGGCCTCAGGCGAATGAGTGAGGGGGAGGAAGGGGAGGAGGGAGGAAGAGGAAGGGGAGGAGGAGGAGGAGGAGGAGGAGGAGGAGGAGGAGGAGGAGGAGGAGGAGGAGGGAGAGGGGAGGAGGGAGGGTTTGAAGAAGAGGGGGGGGATCCGTGTCCGATGCGCAGGCTCCTCGGAGCCAGAGCGGCCGTGTGCGGTTCGTGTCGCGAGGGGCCCGCGCATCCAGGCTGAAAAGGGTCGTCGGGCCGCCGCGGCGGGCGCGGCGGACGCGCTTCGCTGGCGAAGTGCATACGGTGCGCTGGCCATCGACGGCCGACCGACTGATCGACGACGACGCGAAGGTGACGCCAGCAACGAACACGACGACGGCGCACAACGGGCGACGAGCGACAGCGGGCGCGTTCCAGACAGGGCCTCGCTTGCACGAGATCGAGGCACTGGCCGCTCTTCTTCGGCGGGAGGCGGCTGAAGCATATCGAGGGCGGCTCGGCAGGCGGAAAGCCAGCCGAAACTTATGGAAGCAAAACATGTTTCCTGAGAGATGACGTTGTATGTGGACCGAGGTATTCCAGAGCGGCCCACACGGTGGTGCTGGTCTAGCTCCCACAAGGTTTTTTACCCCGCTCCCGAGGCAAGTGGAAGTGACCCGCCGACACGGGGAGCCCTTCTCCTCCTCCTCCTCCTCCTCCTCCTCCTCCTCATTCACTCCTACTCCTCCTACATCCTCCTCCTACTCCTCCTCCTCCTCCTCCTCCTCCCTCACTCTCCTCCTCTCTCCTCCTCCTCCTATTGTGCTCCTTCCTCCTCATCCTCCTCATCCTCTCTACCTCTTCTCTGCCTATTAGCGGGCCAGGGATGAGGGGTCCAGGACGTAGCAGCCTCGTCCCGTCTTGCACGACACTTGATGGAAATGTTCAGGCATCGAGGAGGAGGAGGTTGGAGTCAGAAGACATGTCGGTACGTGTTTGGGTCCGAAGGGCAGGCAGACGAGGAGTTCACGCGCGAGAGGGGAGGTCGCCAGCAGGACACACACAGTGCAGGGGCAGCGGGACAGTAGTTCGAAAGTCAGATGTAGAGGGTCGGACGGGTGGTAATGGGGGGTGGCCCACATGGGGGGGGGAAGAAAAGGGCTCCTAAAGGGACCTTGAAAAAAACCTTTTGGAGCCAGCTGGGCGACGCAAAAAAAAAACGGAGTCGTCTGCGCCGACATTCGCGCGTAAGCTCGTCGCGCAAGCTCGCGCGTAAGCGCCTTCGTTTCCAATGTAGCGTGCCGCGCCAGCGGGCCCGCGTAAGCCGCCGCGTAAGGTCGCTGTGTCATCTCGCGCAAGACCCGTTTTTGATCGTCCCTCAGCCGGTGCCCAGAAGGACCCTAAAGGGCTCCTTTAGGGCCTTTTCTTTCACCCCCCATGTGCCCCTTAGGCCCTTTGGGGCCCCGTCAGGGCCCCCTAGGGCCCCTTTTGGGCCCAATTTAGGGCCCTCTTGGGGCCCCTTTGGGGCCCCTTTAGGGCCCCTGTGTCCCTCAGGCCCTCTTCCTTCTCCTTCCTTGGGGCCCTTTAGGGCCCCCTTTTGGGCCTTTAGGGCCCCGTTAGGGCCCGCTGCCGCCCGCGCGAGAGGGCAGAGCGAGCAGAAACCTAAGAGCACCGAGCACAGGCCACCCCCCATGTGGGCCACCCCCCGTTACCGCCCGCCCGAGAGGGCAGAGCGAGACAGAACCCGAAGAGCACCGAGCACAGGCCAGGAGGTGGGGCACCAGCGCCCAGGGGTCCCGAGACACGAGGAGCAGAGTACGGTGCGCGGCCGGGGGTGAGCGCAGGCCTGAGGTGCTCGGATCGAGGGGCGGGGGTTCAGGATTTCTCCGAAGGGCTTAGGCGACCCGTCCTGATCCTCCTCCTCCTCCTCCTCCTCCTCCTCCTCCTCGTCCTCCTCGTCCTCCTCCTCCTCCTCGTCCTCCTCCTTCCCCCCTACCCTCATCGCGTTCCTCTCCTCCTCGTTCCTTCCTCCCTCCCCCTCCTCCCCCCCCCCCTCCCTCCCTCCCTCCATTCCCCCCCTCTCCTACCTCCTACTCCTCCTCCCTCCCCCCCTCCTCCTCACCCTCCCCAGCCTCCTCCTCCTCCCTCCCCTCTCCTCCTCCCCCCCTCCCCCCCTGTCCCCTCCTCCCTCCCCTCCGTCCACCCCCCCTCTCCTCCTCCTCCTCCCTCCCCTCCTCCTCCTCCTCCGCCGCCTCCTCCTCACTCCTCAACTCCTCATCCTCCCCCCTCCTCCTCCTCACCTACATCCTCCTCCTCCTCCCCTCCTTCCATCCTCCTCCTCCATCCCCTCCCTACTCCCCTCGTCCCTCCTCCTCCCTCCTACTCCTCCCTCTCCTCCCTCCTCCTCTCCGCGCGAGCCTCCTCCTCCTCATCCTCCTCACTATCCCTCCCTTCGCTCCCTCCGCCTCTCCTCCTCCTCCTCTCCTCCTCCTTCTCCTCCGCGTCCTCTCCTTCCTCCTTCTCCGCATCCTCCTCCTCCTCCCTCCTCCTCCTCCTCCTCCTAGTCCTCCTCCTCCTCCTCCTCTCCCACCTCCTCCTCCTCCTCTCCTCCTCCTCCTCCCCCTCCTCATACTCCTCCTCGTCCACCTCCTCCTCATCTCTCCTCCTCCTCATCCTACCTCCTCCCTCATCATCCTCCTCCGCCTCCTCCACCTCCACCGCCACCTCCACCTTCTCCTCCTCCTCCTTCCCCTCCTCCTCCCTCTCTCCCCTCCTCCTCCTCCTCCTCCTCTGTCCTCCTCCTCCTCCTCCTCCTCCTCCTCCTCCTCCTCCTCGGGTCGCCTACCGCCCCGGGGGAAACTATGCAGTTCAGTGCAGACGGGTGCCAGTCAGAGCGCCGGAGTTTGCCGGATCTTGCAGGGACAGGGGCGCACTGACCCGGGCTCGGGTGCAGGATCTTGCAGGATTGTGCAGGTTCATGCCAAGCTTGACTGACCTGGTTCTGGATTCCGGGTCAGTGGATCCCCGAGGTTCTCGCAGGAAGATCGCCGTCGGTTGTGTGGCGGCAGAGGCAGGATGAGGAGGAGGAGGAGGAGGAGGAGGAGGAGGAGAAGGAAAATGAGGATGTGGCTATCACGAGTCGGTATGCATTCTCTGTTCTCCTCTCTGCGGCCAGCCCAGGGAGGAAGTGAGAGGGGGCGGGTCTTCTCAGGAGACTCAGAAGCCCCCCCGCCTACGAGTCGGTGTCCTGAGCCTTCCCCGAAGACACACGAAACTTCTCCGAAGGCCGGAGGGCTTCGGAGAAGCCCCGCAGCCTTCTGAGAGGGCCTTTCTCCTTTTCACTTCGACCACCGTCCTCGCCATCCTCGCTCGCCGCCGATCCTCGCTATCGTCCTCGCCCTCCTCCTGCGCCTGCGCCTCGAGCTCGTTCGTGCCCCCCCCCCCCCCCTCGCGCCCCCGCGCGCGCCGCCCCGTTTCGGCGCGGCCGCGCGCACGGATGTCTGCCGCGCTGGGGGTGGCAGAGCCCGTGGCCGCCAATGCACATGCCAATGATGATCGGGCAGGCTGCCGCCGCGACTTCCGCCGGCCCCCGCCGGGCTGGCCGCGGCCGGGACGGCTATAGGGCCGGCCGGCCAGGGCGGCTCCGAGCTCCGCAGGAGGGCGTGCCCTTCCAGGAGGGCTAAAAAATGGCACGCGACTTAAAAACCTATCCCAGAGCTATTCTACGTCTTGGTCTTAGGCTGCTTCGTGTCGTTGTTTCAGGGTTTGAGGCCTCCCGTGCTAAAAGATAGCTCTCTGGAAGGTCAGGGGCAGGAGGAGGAGGAGGAGGGCGGAGAGGATCGGCGGCCAGCGAGGCGCGCCGGGGGGGGCTCCTGCCGTGCCTCGACCGAGAGGCGGAGCGAAGAGGAGGAGCAGCAGCGGGAGGTGGAGGGCGGCGGCCGGTCTTGCGCAGCGAGGGGGAGGCATCGAGAGCCGGGGGCGCCACACACCGGTTCGTGCGTCTTGCTTTGCTGACGCGCTTCGGCGCACTCGCAGAAGCCTGGAGCCTTTGCGGAGGAGGAGGAGAAGGAGGAGGAGGAGGAGGAGGAGGAGGGGGGGGATCGCTCGGCAGCAAGTCATGGGAGCCTTGGACGCCTTCGAAGTTCCACCGCTCGAGCGCTTGAGCGCCAGCGCCCAGCAATCGAGGCGACAGCGCCGACCTCGCGTGGATCGGCGCCGCGCAGCGCCAGCCGGCGCCGGTCCGCAGGAGTCCCCACGACGGCACGGGAGGCTCGCAGGAGCCAGGTGCCGTCGAGCGATGGCTCCGCGCACGCGTGCCCTGTTGTTCAGGAGGGGGGAAAACACACGCAGACACAATGAATCGTCGACCCCCAGGAAAATGTGGGAAAATATGGGAAGTGGGGGGGAAGACAGGAGCCCCGAAAATCTGGGGAACTATGGGGAATCCTACTATTTGTGTGTATTTATTTGTGTGTCCTGGGGCCCCTTCATTTGTTCTGTGTGCCGGGGAGCCGCCCGCCGTCGCCGACGGGCCCGAGTCGAAGCGAGCAGTCGGGGTGGTGCCTCAGAAGTCTGGAGCTATGATGTTCCA